CTGAGCGCTTGCTACATCGCCATTATCGTGTATGTGTAGCATGAAAGATACAGAACGTGAGAGAAGTGCACCCTTTTTGCTCTAGTTCCATTAGTGTTAATGATACCTGGTTAGTTCAGCATGTTGAGTTAGGACATGACATCAGAGGGGAAACATGTTCTACACACAATGAAACGATGTACTTTCGGTAGTCTCGACGACTAATCCACGCGACTTCTACACTCCCTCAACTCATGCAGACGACCTTCGAGAAGAGTACACTTCTTCGCAACACTATGAGATTCGTGGCACATGTGGTCTTTTGTGCATTCTGGAGAAAGACCTATGTAAGGTCATGTACACAGGTCGCTGACCGAGTGCCATTTCATCGTGTAGTGATTGTGTAGCGTGGAGAGGGAACACTTTAATAGGTCACCAGTCGGACAACACGTAGAATACATGTATGTTCACGCATGTACTCAAGTACAGACTCAGCAGAATACAAAAAAGGCAAAATAAAAAAATGGCTGCTGCATTCTTCAAAATATAATGTGAATTGTACGTGTAAGTTCTCTTAGCACTTGATGTTGATGTTGATGTTTGTGCTGCTACTCGTGTAACACTGTAGCTGAGTCATATCGTGTAGGTACTAGTGGATCTCTTCGCGAGTTGCTCGCGCATGCCACTATGTGCAGTCATTCGGAAGCGACACACTTGCCCTTGAGTGGGGCCAATCGCCTAAAATGGCATACGGACTGACCATGGGCAAGCGCGTCTAAGTGCACGTGCTCCACGCGCCGGACCGTCGTGAGTGGTGGGTAAAACGAGTAACGTGACGACCTGATCATCCCAACCTTTCCCCTAAGAAGGCACTGGTGAAGGTGGCCCGTCGTCTTCCCGTTGGTTACACAACTCGTATGGAACCTTTGAGGAGAGGAGATGTTACAGTACAGTGTGTATAAGACGATAAGTATAGTTCTTCGTATACTGCTTATTGGAGCACTGATATCAGCTTGACAGTGATAACGGTTCTCGCCGTCTCTACCTCCTGACAAAATCAGGCACACTCCTAGAGAACCCATCCTATGGCTGGGGGGGGGGGGGGGGAATTGGGAACGAAGATCCCAAGACCAGGGACGGGATCCGAGCATCGCGTATGACCATGTCACTTCATCTTGACTTTAGACCATCCAGCTAGGAGATACGCGTGGCAGTAGCTCGCATTTTCATAATCTTATCTAGATGATTACTCGACGTGTCAGAAGAGTCGTTCCGCATGCGTGCGTGCGTAAGCTTCAAGTGGGGACACGAGTGTGACAGACGTGGTCCGTTGCCGCTCACCGGTCATCCTCACAAAGACTTGTTATTGATATGCCTCGAGTCCAGCCTAGAGTATACCCATCAACACATACACGCACGCATTGCAATAGCCTGGATCGAGATTACAGTGACTGTTGACTGTTGTAGTTGCGTTTGGCCCAGTCAGACCCGAGAAAAGAAAGAGGCAGATGACATGGTCGATAGCGGCCTTCTCCCTTCCCAATGAGCTATACATCGTTAACCAATTCCATTGTCTGTGTGTACGAGCTCTTCTCTTTAATGACACTGTGAGAGTGCCCAGTCTACTGAGGCGAGAACAGAGTGTCGACCGTGATTGTGACTGTGAGACACGTGTAGAAGGTATGTGTGGCAGATGAACAAATCAGGGAAGAGAAACGGACTCTGCTGGGCTGCCTCGAGTATCAGGCGAACGTGACACCGAGCTCCATTGCTTAAACAACAAAACTACAGGACTGGAGAGACCAGCAACCCTGCAGCTCCTGTATCCCTGTTCTCGCGTGTATCTAATTTGTTGGCTGAAAGACAGATCACGTCTACGATGTGTTCCAACATCGCTACTCTCCTGTAGACCGTTCCAACAACAACAGTCGACGCTTGGACAGCTAACGTTCCTGTCGTGTAGACCAGCAGCGAATACTACACTCGTACTCGTGTACCCCCGTTGAAAACGTGTATGCAATACCTCGTCTAACCGTTGTACATCTACGTGTAGAACAGAGGGTAGGGTTTTTAAGATCAGTACACGATCATATTCCACTGCAGCTCAGACTAAGTGGTACCAAGTGCACCTATGCTGCGTGGAAACACATTGGGAAAAGTGAAGTTTCATTAAACGGGCTTCGGGTTGGGCAAAATGTTCCATGTAAGTTGCATTTGGACTGCACAAGAACATCTTGTGTACAAATTAGCCGTATGTTAGTAGACCAGTCACTCGGCGTGTTCGCCGGACTAGGAGTTTTTACGTAATAACTGTCTCAGTGTTTTCCACGCACGAGTAGAGATGCTGATGAGGTCAACCCCCATATTGGTGTGGTCTCAAGGGCTAAGAGCTGCGAGCTAAAATGAGTTCAAAATAATCCTCTCTCCCTCTCCCTCGAAAAAACTAAATTACTTGGCGTGCTCCATCATCGCTTAGACACCCCACGCTCCAGCGCCTCTGTGGTCCAATGACGCGAAGGTCTGACACGGGCCCATCACACTGCTGGCTGAGCACTGGTGCCGTGGTGGTTCGCTGCATTTAGCTTGCTGAGCGTTTTCCGTGCTGGGCGCGCACGTGCAGTTAGGTATGTAACGGACAGAAGCTCCATGGAAGGTAAAGGTTAGTGAGATCGGGATCATGGCAGAGGGAGAGAGGACATGCACAGGTTATCCAAGTGAACTAACTATTAGTTTCCCTGCGTGCTGCTTCTCTCGGGAGGAACGCTTCGAGGATGAACATGGTATGTTATCACTTAGACCGTGTGTCAGGAGCGGTTGGGAGGTTTCACGCCTGACCTGGCACTTCCTGAACAGCTAGATCTAAGGTTACTGTCATACAGAGTACCACTGGTGATAGATGTCGTTGGTCTTCAGTATGCGACGACAATGATGATGTCGTCGACGGCCGAGTTTCAGTCACTCTCTATACACGTTTGTGTGCTTGCACGCCGAGTCGAGTGTGACCTAGCGTGAAGAGTGGCCAGCGCTTCTCTCTAGCGCTCAGCGTGGCACGTACCGGATTGTCCTGTGCAGTGTGACTGCTGACACCGTCGTCACACGGACACTGACAGGGAGGAGGGCTGGCGTACGCGCTCGTGACGTGGTCACACTAGCCTGGAATAGCCGTGGCGTGTACACGGGTTCCTCCGCCAGGACCCCTAGCCCTCTCGACCTTCTGCCCGTTCAGTAGACCGTCCCGACCCAAGTAGGCAGCCAGCGAGACACGGAAACATTCTCCTCTGCAAACGACTCCCCCTTATCCTCTTAGCTAGATGCGCACTCCAGCGGTGGATCGAGAGATTATAAAACCTGAGCGGGCCAACTGCTTCGGGGCACAATTTCTTTGTGGCTGAAACAGAAAGTTTGAGCTTCGCCTTCCAGGAGAGGTCCATTCTTCCACGTTCAGTGCAAACGCAAGTCATCCAAGGTGTGACACCACTGTCTTTCAGGTGTGCCGTCCTAACGGCCTAAGTAACAGTTGACAGCCTCCTTTAGACCTGATGTGCTTCAGCGCTGACAGCGACCAGATGATGGTAAGACCTGCTTTAGAGCTGATAAAGAGGTATACAAAAGGAAGTAAAGGAGCTGATAAAGAAAGGGCTACTCCCCCGATTAGGGCGGACGCTTGAAATCAATGAGAAACCTTTGTGGGGTGTGATACGTTTGTGAAGATCGGCGCGATCATGTTGTGCAGGATAGGGGCATACTGAGCTGGCATGTGCTGTGTATCATTGTGCTCGAGCTTTTCGGGAATGCCTCTCTCTCTCTCTCTCTCTCTCTCTCTCTCTCTCTCTCTCTCTCTCTCTCTCTCTCTCTCTCTCTCTCTCTCTCTCTCTCTCTCTCTGTGAATAGGATAGTGTATCTTGTTCTCCGCGTGTCGCGTCCATTATCCAGTGCGAGCCGCTTCCTCGGCAACATGCTTCCCACTGCCAGACCACAGTTGTTTCCTTCTACATTACATTCTCGTCCGCCCTGTACAGTGTATATGCAGTGTAGTCACCACCCTGCGAAAGTGCTACTCGAACACTAACCAATGAGGCAATGTATATGTGTATGTACGTGTACCTGTTCTTCGATTACATGGCATTGCGTGGCTATCCCTACATAGCAGAAGGTCGACGTTTTAGTATCCAAAACTTCTTTAGTTGCTCTACATACAGTTTCCGACTGCTGGTGATTCCAGATGTTCATCTTCCGTTTTACAAGGCACATACTGACTATTTTGAGTGCATTTCGTTACCTCTGGAGGCATTCCGACGCTGAATATCGAGTAACCCACAGGTAGCACGATTGGATGGAACCACTCACCCGCGTATACCCTACTCGACAGGAAACGGTTTCAAGGTGTGAAGTGTTGTTCGAGCGGCCAGTACCACGCTCTGCTACGAGCCTTTATTGCCAGTACGATTTCCACATGGCACCTTCGCAATGAACACGAAAATCGCGAAGAATGCCTGACTTTGCGGTGCAAATAATTGCCAGCGCTTGTCACTACCGGCAGTTATTTATGCCCGTGCAGTGCATGGTATCATCAATGCCGTGCCATGCGCGACCATTCTAAGGTGGACGGGTGGCAAGACGGTTTTCCTTGTTTTCTTTTCGCAGCACGCATGATGGGTGGCGGACCAGGAGAGATGCTCAAAGGCGAACATGTGTCGCTACATCAGAGTGTGCGCGACATGACAGTGTACATTGTACAGGGGAAAAAGCGCAGGGATTGCGAAGAGGCAGTCGTGCAAGCTAGCAGTGGAATGCTTCCGCATTGGATGAGCAGCTACGACGCACTTTCAAGCAGCATGTCTTCGATCCAAATAATGGCATTTCCTTAGCAAGGACATTTTCAATAGTTCTTGTTGTGAATTTACCCCGTTGTTAGAGTTGTATTTCAGCTCGGCAAGGTTATGTTCTATGTTCTGTCACCAACCGAATGGATTTATTCTCTCTCTCTCATCTCTTCCTCCTCCTCCTCCTCCTCCTCACAGGCCAGCTTCCCTCTATCACCGCATGGCGCGGCTACACGCATCTCCCCAATCGCCACTGCAACTCCAGCGGCGGCGGCGGCGGGTTGGGTGCACGCAGGTCAGTTGGCCTTCGTCCGTCCGGAGTACACGGCCATGCCCGGAACGGCTGGCACTGGCGGAGTGCCTCAGCGAGCGCCGATGGACGTCCTCTCGCCCGCCACGCTACCGCACTGCGCAAGCTACGCGCACCACGCTCAAACCATGCAAACTCGCATGGCACCGACGACGCTGCATCAGCCTGGCCGTCCCCACGGAAACGCAGTGGCCGTGTTCCAAGCCGGTCAGCTTGGCCAGCCGAGGTAAGACTAGGGAATTCCCCTATAGAATCTACTTACCCCATGCCCACCGATGATAGTTGATACTCTACTCTTCAGTCGACCTTCGAACTCTGGTGTTCAATGACCTGCACTCCTTTTGCACGTTTCGTGTTTGCTGAGGCTGGATGATTTGCACGCGCTTGAGACGCCGGCTCTCTACTTTGTTGGCGTCCCAATGGCCTTGTGTATTTTTGGAGTAGATCTACTAGGAGTAGAGTTTAGATTATGTAACAAAGAGAGCGTCTGACAGTGGGACGTTGTCACTTCAGGAAGAGCGAGTCTACTCGGCTAGAAAAAAATGCTGGAGGTCAATGCTGAATTTTGCCTTTTTTCGTCTCCTCAGGCTTCCACCTGGCTATATGATGACAATGCCTGGACACCCTGGACTGCCGGCGCTGGTCCAGCGCATGCACAACACGAAGCGTGCTCGCGAGTGCACCAAGCCGCTGAAGGAGTGGCTGCTGAAGAACCGCCGCAAGCCGTACCCGACGCGCATGGAGAAGGCACAGCTGCGGGACATGACTGGGCTGACCTTCAATCAGGTGAGATGAAATTCACATGATGACGCAATTCTACAAGTGATACTATAATAATTATTATTTTCACGCGTATCCTTATTCTTGGCTTGGTCATGGGCTTGTGTAGAGAAAGACTAGAGACGAGCACCAGGATGTTGTCCAGGGGAAATCCCTATAGAGGTTATGCGGTTGCATCATCAGTTGAGATAATTCGGCAAAGTCACATCACATGCAGGGATGCATTAGCGTGACTCACGCTGTGCACATAGCCCCATAAGCAGTTCCGCTGACTCACAACCATGACATCATCTCACAACCATGACAGCATTCATATTACCTCTACACCAAACAGTCTAGACTAATCACTTTCTTGTTTTTATAGAACTTTTTTTGTTTGCAATCAATCCTCTCATGCGCCCCACTGACTTCGTTTTGTGTGCTTTTGTGACCTTCTCAGGTGTCCATGTGGTTTGCAAACGCCCGCCGTCGCATCAAGAAGGTGGGCATCGAGTCGTGGGCACGGGCAGCCCTGTCCGGCGAGGACTCGTACATGGCCGAGGAAGACTGGCTGGATCAGGACGACACCAAGGTCGACTCGGAGGAGAAAGAAGGTGAGAAGAGTACATGTATGCCTTACCAGCACCAGAGCACAAGTAGAACTATAACACTGTACATATACCTTGGAAGGGATGGAATGTTTGTGAGGGAGAAAAATCCAGTACACCTGAATAGTAGTTTTAAATGCACTTCAACACACCAGACCGTGACTTTACAATACGATCACCAGCACAGCATGCTGTGCTGCCAAAGACATTCCAAGAAACTGTCCAATGTCCCGACAATATGCCTTGTATTTACAGTGGTGGGTATTCCTAGTAAAGATGAGAGATTTGCTGCCCCCCCCCCCCCCCCGTCCCAAGTCAATGGGCGAATCCATAGAAATCTGCTGTCACCGCAATTTCGCCAAAGTGACATACGATGGCTTCTGGACACCGTGTAACACATGTTGTGTGTGTATGTGTATTGTGTTGGCGGATTGTTTTCAGATGACTCACGTGTGTGCACTGACCAGTTTGCATCGCCCGCGTCGCCACAGACATCGTTCAGTGACATCACGCACCATGTCGACGCTGCTAAAGTGCGCGATCACCAGCAACAGCAAGATGAGGAGGCATTGGCACGAGGTGCCATCTCGTTCTCACCACTGCCCCATGAACGTGGTGCGGTGGCAAGCGGAAACGAATACGCCACCGGCGGCGGATCATCAGCACTGGAGTACCACTTGACGCCGCGGCCAACGCTCCTGAGGGGAGGTGCGGATGAAGGCTCGTCCTCCACCTGCTTTCAGCTTCCGGGCGCATCCGGCGGTGCTTACATTCCCGACGTGCAGCAGCACTCCGGCATGGCGAACCTGGACACTCCGCGGTCGCCGCACAACATCACGTTCGTCTCCCAGCATGCACAGGACGCCGATCTGGACGACATGCGCGACGTGGATCGGAGAGAGCCGCAACAACAACAGCAGCAGCAGCAGCTCGGCGACGCTCGCCACGCGTACAGCTCTATTGCCGGCGGCAACGACGCATCCGATCAGTTCCTTCCCCGACTAACGTCAAACCCGGTAGCCGACAAGCCGAAGAACATGTACTGTAAGTTGTAATTATGTGTGTACATCTCTTGTAGTCTGTGCTACTTCGAAGTACTATTTAACCGGTGTTATAAGATGAGAGAATACTGTCTGTGTTGGTAGCCATACTCCCTGTCTCCACCTGTACCATTGAGATTCTGGGCACTGTTCATTTGGGAAGGCACTGGTATGAAGTGCTACCTCTATACTACATACGGGTAGTCTTTGAAGACATATTTTCTTGATGTCCGCATACTAGTAGTATGTTAAAGTTAAAAAATGAGGCTGCGGCGGCCACTTGCAGGCTTGACCAATTTGTGTTTCGCCAGCACACACATGGTAGAGACGAAATGAAGTACATCCATGGTGGTACAGAAGCTAAACATTGTCTCTTTCAATTTATTGTTCCGTTGCAGTTTACTCGCAAAGTCAAGAGACGAACACCATGACCAGCATGCCAATGAGCGCGCAGGCACCAATCCCGGCCACCGCGGGCGGAGGCCAGCCGCTGCCGCCGGTACCTTCCCTATCCAGTCCCCCGCCGGCGCTGTTCCCGACGGCCACCTACTACGGCCTGCCACCCGTGTCCGTTATGCCGTCCTCCTACGTCGTGCCGCAGCAGCCATGCACGCTGACCGGAACGACCGCCTCGGCCTCCTCCACCTACCTCACCGACTCCAGTCACCGGTCCTGAAGGGCAGGGCACGTTCGCAAAGCAAACCCAGAGCATGCTGCTCCCGAAACCAATAATTGTAACGCTTCCCATTGTCTGCATTGTTTCACTACTGTTTGGAAATTTGGAATAGGTAGCCAGATGGTTATCTCTTGATTTAGCATTGTCAGTAATAGTCTCAGCAGAACCCAGCAACATGCCTTTTAAAAGTGCATGTGTAGACCATAGTGCTGCTGGCTAGCATGTAGGCGCACCAAGCCGAGAGCAACAACACTGTGCGTAGCTGGCTCGCTATAGGAACTAAACAGGCGAACACACATGTAGGTCTTCACCGAGAGTGTCTACTTCTAGGAGAGCAATGTCAGCAATTCTGACAATACATAGCTGTCCTGTATTTATAGGCAACGAGAGAGATTCCTAGATTGAACCAAGCGGCGTAAGGACCCGATTCCAGACTCTATCCCCCAACAAGCATTCATTTCGCATTGATGATGGACATAATCACCATTGCGGAGAGCTTCTCCTCCGCAATGGGTGTCAAATCTGCAACATGTTTGTTGCCCGGCCTATTTTACCTATTCAGTTCTATCATTTCATATTGAAATCATCCCGATTGCCCGAGTTTGAGGGTGTTTATGCTGGAAATCACAGCTCCTCGACATTCTAACATATTGACTTCCAGTATGACATTGTTTACTTATGGCGTGCTAGCTCACAACGAACAAATCTTGATGACAACCTAGCGTAGAAACTAGCCAGATTCCTAGACCAATAATATTTTTTGAGTGGCATATTGTTCAACACATCTGTCATTATCGCTCAAGTTTTGATGTTAGGGCAAATTTTAATCCATCGAAATACAGTCATGATACCAATAATACTACTGGTGAACTAGATTGTTGAGCTGAGTCGTGTGCTTGCTCGCTGGTCTATCTGGGTTGATTGAGCAGCCTGTGAAGTGAACGGCTGAGCAGGTTTGTTGCCGCAATGAGGGAAGTGGTTGTATTGGTCTCAAGAGTAGATTGGTGCCGTGCAGTGTTCCATGTTGCAGGAGTATTCACAACGAGTTAACCTGCACAAGTACTGCACTGTACAACAGCGCACTGTAAAGCACAGACGTCTCCAAGGCGAATGACCATATTCCGGTTGCATTCAACACTACTGGTACCTTGTCAAGAAATGTGCTCCTCACGCTGCGTTGCACACTTACCCAGTCATACTAAGCCCAATCCAAATGCCCTGGTCGTTACATAAAATATAGCTTGGTTGTCGTAACCGCTTCGGCGCGTTACGCGTACTTCGAGTCCATGCCCACTAGTGCTGTGTCAGGGTGGTACGTCACGGTGGTAAGTTCACAGTTTCGCGTTCTTCGAGAACATGCCCAGTGCGTTGACAGGGTGGTACGGTAGTCCATACTCAGTGTTATATCAACGGTTGCACATCAAGGTGGTATGTTTACGCTCGCCGATGCTGGTGGCCTCCATGTGGCCGGCGCGGATGGCTCGCGTTGGTGCGAGTACACTGCTGCAGGATGCCGCGATGCCGCCGCAGACATGTCCACTGCCATCGCTGCCGCGGCTTGGTGAGGCTGGGGGAAGTTGCCGGCGGTTACGCTTGGCGGAAACCCTGCCGCCGCCGCATCGCCACTGCTCATCAGGACCGGCCCGTCCGGGGCGTACGTGATCGCAGCCCGGTGTAGCGTGGCCGCGTGCTTTTGCAGATTTGCACGCAGGAGACTCTCCTCCCGTACGCCGGTCAGCCTACGTTCCATGATGTCCATTCGCAGCTGCCACCGCTCGTTGATGGCCTTGATCTCGCGCTGCAGTTTCACGATGGTCTGCTGCAGGTGCAGCGCCTGGTCCTGCAGCTGCTTGACGATCTTGGAGGAGTCCTGGCCGGCCAGGGCGTCGCGTTCCCGGCGCAGCTTCTCCTCGATCTCCCGCTGCTTGGCGAGCTCTGCCTGCAGCTTGGCAGCGGCCGTCGACTGTGCGTTAGCCAGCATGCTCTGCAGCCGCTCGTCAGCCTCCTGCTCCAGGCGTTCCTTCTGCTCGCGCAGCTGCTCCTTCAGCGCGGCGATCTGCGCGTGTGCGTCGGCGGCGGAGCGGGCACCCTCGGCAGCCGCGTTGCGTCGCTCTCCGTCCAGCTCCGACGTCAAGCGACTCACCTTGGCACGCTCCAGCTCCAGCTGCTCCTTGGCGTCGCTGAGGGAGCGCTGCAGGTTCTTGTGGCCGGAGTCGCGGTCGCTCGCCTCCATCTGCAGCTCGCGCACGCGTAGCTGCAGGTTCTCTATGGTGGCGTGCAGCTCATCAGCCTCCTCCTGACTCAACACTCCCTGCGGCTCGGCCTCTACGATCACTGATTCCGGCTCGGCTGGCTCGGTGCGTGCGTCCGCCGCCAGCTTTTGGATTTGACTCTGCAGCATCTGTATGACTGTTTCGTTCTGCTTGATCGTGGCATGCTGTTCATTACAAGTCAGAGTCAGCTCGCGGATTTTACGATCGTGGCGGCCAGTCTTGCCGGACAGGATTTCATCATAGTAGTTCTTGTACTCGGCGGAAATGCGCGCCACGGCGTCGCTCAGCTGCGTGCGGAAGCTGCGCCGTAGCATGTCGGTCTGTTCGCGATGTCGTTTCTCCATCTCCATCAGGCGATTGTTGGCGTGGTGGTAGAGCTCGGTGGCGTGATCGCTGATCAACGTTTTCGACTCCATACGCAGCGAGTAGGTAGCCATGGTAAGCTCCTTCTTCAACGCTGACGCCATGCGCAGGATGTTTTCCAGCGTGGCGAACGTCTCCTCCAGCTGGACAATGTCGGAGCGTTCCGTCTGCGTGGCATTGTCACGGCAGCCGGCACCGAAGCGCGTCTGATCGGAGATGGTGGGTTTGAACGTCTTCAGTATCTGCGCGCCCAAGCCAGCAGGCTGGCTACCTGCAGTTGTCATTATCTCGAATTATTATCCAGTCTCCACCGTTCTCTCTTCCTGCTGCAGTCTGCCCTGCAAAACTCGATGGTGAGTTACAAATTTCTTCCGTCTGTGGCGTGGGTAGCTCTTTGCAAGAGTCACGCGCTAACAGCTAGCTGCATCCAGCCGACGATCGCGTCCCATGCATGCAGTTGACGAGGAAAGGATCGAACGCTGAGGCACATAGCAGTCAGCATGGAACTAACGTTACTTGGTCCACTCCCATTTCGTCCATTGCAGATTGCGCTTTCCGCATCTCCTCATCTATGCAAGTCGACCATTGATTCGATTTGCTTTTTCCAAGAAGCAAGCTCAGCTCGGACTGTCAAACGATACAGACAGCGGCTGTAATGCCTAATGCCATGGTCACTACTGCAGCGGATCGCGGAGGGATCTGCCGTTCTGGTGCACGAAAGAAGTAAGGGCATAATATACGTAGATCTATGTACCTGATGTACACGGCCAGGAGCGGTACGTAGTAAGTCTGTGGATCTATCTACTCCCGGCAGTCCCGGGATCCCCGTGCAGACAGTTTTCCAGAACTCAACACTGGACAACCCTCAACAGACAACACTGCCCTGACAAGTGTCGGGATCGCTAAGGACAACCCGATGTCAAGGGAACGCCAGAGCCATATGCGCCATAGTATGACTATGAAGTATGATTCGTATGAACGATGTCGATGATCATGATGATTGACAATTTTTATTTATTTTAATATTTATTTACTTTTTTTTATTGAAAAACCACAAACCTCCAGTACATATGTGAATGGTCTTTCGGAGGATTAGCAAGACGAAATTCGCGTTCGCGTTCGCTCTCCAAGGAAAGTCGAACTCAGTGACGGATTAGGGCTTGAAAGTGATGACGTCAAAAAACGGCCAGGGAGTACTAAGTTGACATCAGATTTCTATTTTGGATCCACTAAGGTGTGACTTTGCTATTGCCTCAGTATGTGGGTGCATAGCAACCCACTCATGTCGTATGCAGGGGTGACTTTTACTTCGCCACCAGTTGTAACCCCGCCCCCAGTAGCCAAATCAGTCAGTTTCACTGGTAACATCACCTTGCTGAGAGTAAGACGGCTTGAAATGTGCTTGGATCCATAGAAGTGGATCCAATCCGTGGTCCACCTACATAATTATTTGTAGGCTACATGCACCGGACCACGAACATCGGAACAGGCTCATTCCACACGCGGCATTTGCCTGTAGGCTGTAGCTGTGCGCACGCGGGCGGGTGCGAGTTCATGTAGACAGTCAGTAGAGTCAACGTATCGTAGTTAGAGCTAGTACCGTACTAGTAGTAGTAGTAAGTTTTTTTTTCTTTTTTTTTCGGAGTTGCCAAGGGCAGCTTTATTTTTTTATTTTTTACATGTAATACCAATGATCAAGTCAAAGGAAAAAGAAGTTAAGAGAAGTGCAAAGTAGAGCTGGAGTGCAGCCGCCCGATAGCGGACTGAAAACTACTAGTAGTAGAATGAAAAGAGCACAGACGAAGCAAATACAGACAAAACCAGAGGCAAATGGTATCAAATGCGAATGCCTGCCTCAGCAACCGCCAAGGTGGGAGGTGAGTCCAACTGCACCGGCCGAAGATTCCGGGATCCGCGCAAACACATCACGCTGGACCGGAGTAGGGCAAAACTCAATTTGCATCGAACCCAAGACATAACACAGCTGTATGCTTCTCCAGTCTTCGCGGCTTGAAGAGAAGCTATCCGCTTGTAGAGCGACTCCGCGTGTTTGCCCAAACCACCAGTGGTAGAGAATATGGCCGGAACAAACGACGAATGCTCTATGTCGCGGACACGTTGCTCGTAGCAGCGCCGCTTCTCCTTCTCGTGCTTGGTGTAGCAGGAAGCAATGGAGGTGGCGCGGTTTGAGGTCGCATGAGGATTGAAAACCCTCACATCGATGAAGGTGCGCTCAAACCGGCCACCCCAGATGCCACTTGCCGCAACGTCGAGACGGGCCTGCTCAGTCTGGATAGCGGTGCGATACCGGAACTGCTCCCCAGTGACCGGCTGCAGGTGGGGCTCCACGGAGACATTGTGAGCCACTCGCTTCAGCATATGGGCAGTGAGGTCACGCACCTCATTGTGCCGCACCGACGGAAACCCCCCTGTGGGGCAAGACAAAGCGTGAGCGACTGAAAATGTGGCTCCACAGCTGCAAGATGATGGCAGTCGCTGTGGAAGCCAGCCGTAGCGCAAGTGGATTCCGTCGCGGAACTCACCCTTGGTGAGGGTCAAGCCATGCCGCTTCAAGGGTCGACAGGTCAGCCAGGAAGAAGCTCCCTTCTCCGACGCTAGTAGTAGTAAGTACTGTCGTGGACATGGAAGTCCGGTAGTACTAGTAGACCTACGTCTACGGTCTAGTAGCGGCCCCAGGGCGCTGGCCATGCAACCGCGGAACATGCATTATCAGTTATGCGATGCAGCGAGCTAGCTGGTCCAATTTCAAAAATTCAAAAATTGGATCCCGCGGTTGCATGGCCAGCGCCCTGGGGCCGCTACTAGACCGTAGACGTAGGTCTACTACCGGACTTCCATGTCCACGACAGTACTTACTACTTTTTTTCTTTTTTTTTTAACGCATTACGTTTTTTTTTTTTTTTTTTTACAATACCATTCACAACGTTTCTTCAGAATTCTCAAACTCCATTGCAGCGTATTCCTTGCACTTGAAAACACCGCCATTCCGGCAACAGGCTCTCAGCTGCACCAAATAAATAACTTTGCCAATATTTCGCCCATTGGGCATCATCAGGGCATTGAGGAAGGGGAGGCCAAATTACGAAATATAAAGACGAATAATGCAGGCAGATGAATGTTCTAGAACTAACACATCATGGTGACACAATTGGCAAGGCCAGCAAACTAAACAATCATCACTTGTAAGGTGACCTAAACAAAACGAAAGATGAGAAAACTCACACATACACACAGACACAATTTGGCAAGAAAACTAACACTAACACTAACACTAAAGTTTACAATCATCACCTGTAAGGTGACCTAAACAGAAGAAAGAAGACTAGTAAGACTATCACAGCACGTACAAGAACACTTTCAAGTGTGGGAATGCTAAAGGCGATCTATGTATATGACAGCGGTGTATGTGCAAAGTATGTGTATGTGCTGTGTCAGGTGGTAAAGTCCAGTGGTAGTTCGAGGAGATGGGTGTCGATTCCAGTGACGATCCGGTGACATCCAATCAGTCAATTAGGCGCCAGCCGTCATCGCAATTGACTGCTGGTTTGCGCTTCCTTATCTCGATAGCTTCAAGCAGTTTCCTTGATGGTAGCGAAGCCTCCCTGCCGAGAATCTTTGCCTGGTGGAAGGGCAGAAAGTTGGAAGACTTTAAAGATTCTCGATGCTGGGTACGATAGTGGAAGCCCCAGGGAGCCTTCGCCACCATCGCCCTTGCCTCTCGGTAGTGCTCAGCGAATCGGTCCCTCACCGGCCGCTCGGTCTCACCAACGTACAATTCCGCACACAACGTGCAAGACATACAATAGACAACACCTTTGACTAAATACTGACTATCCACCATACTCGCATCACATGCACGACACTCCATTGGTCGACCTCTCCCTCTCTTCACCTCCGATCGCTGCTTCTCACGGGGACACACACGTACAGCACTCGACGATCGGACCAACATATCCTTCAAAGAAGGACCAGACACAAAGACAACACGAACATGCGGACTGAACTTTCGAACACGTCGTGAGACACGAGCGGCAAGTGAGTCGTTGATGTTCACACTGCATTTATTCGCACAGCAGAAAAGCAACCAACAGAAAATCACGGAATCATAGCAAACAAAACAAAATCATCGGATAATAAAAGTGTGGCTAGACACGGCTACTCCGCAAGAGTCTCAGTCACGCAACTGACAGTCGTTGACTGCCAGCACAACAGGAGTGGCAGCATCCAAACGACTGCGGTAGGGAGAAGCACGGTGACCACGGAGGCTCATGTTGCAGGATCGAACCAAAGCAAAGGAGACAAGAGAGCGGATCCAGGACATGACGGAGGAGTAGGGTTCATGCCGCTTCTCCGAAACCATATGGCCAAGACGCTTCAGGAAAGCGTGGGCTACCTTGCCGCACCTACCAGATGCACTGAATACCAGTGGGAGAAAGGAAGCATGCTCCACCTCCCTGACGCGTTCTTCGTAGGCCCTTCTCTTCTGCTGTTCGTGCTTGGCATAGGTGGACGCGGGAGTTGAGGAAGTGTTCGAGCGCGCATGAGGGTTAAAAACCCGAACATCACAGAACGTGCGCTCAAAACGACTTCCCCAGACACCAGATGCCGCCACATCAAGACGAGCACCATCTTCCAAGATGGCAGAGCGATACCGGAGCCTTTCACCTTCCAGGGGCTGCAGAGGAGGTTCTATCTTCACATCCGTTGCCACTTCACGCAGTAGGTCGGCTGTCAGGTCGCGGATCGTGTTATGGCGGAGAGCCGGGTATCCACCAGTTGGGCACGAAAGAGCATGGCTGGTGTTAAATGCCTTGCCACACACACAAGTGGATGGCAGGCGGGGAGGGACCCAGCCGAACCGCAGACAGAGTGCGTCTCTGAAGGCGCCTTTGTGGAGGACAAACCCGAACTGCTTCAGGGGCCGGCAAGTGAGCCAGTTGGACGCTCCTTTCTCGGCCGCCATCCCCAGGGTTCGCTGGGTGGGCACATCACACGTGGCCAGGAGCTGACTGGCTTGGTCTCGAGAGGCTCTCCTGGTTGCTGCTGCTGCAGTTAGCTTGGCAGCATGGATGGTGGTGGGCACTTCGTCCATGTTGGTGTCTTGGTCCAGTATCCGGCTCACGAGGATGTTGGTGACAGCGACAGACATATTGTATTGGTCCGTCAAAGACCTCGGGTCAATGAGACCAAGACCACCTTCTCGACACGGGAGGGACAGTATGGCGCGCTCTTCGTCACCAGGTGCGGGGCGACTGGTTAGAGCAGGGATGAACCGCTGTCGGATGGAGTGCTCCAGCGGGTCTAGCAGTCCGCTGATGCCTGGGACCGTCCGGGCCACAAACGACCACTTGTGGCGGAGGCCATGAATAAAAGCAGCGTATGCCGCTTGTGGCTGAGTGGTGGCGAAGTCAGCCAGTCGTCCAACCTCTAGCGCCCATGTCTCTACCTTCTCTGTGACATATTGCTTGCAGAATTCGGGAGACCCAAGTACCGCACTGAGATGCCGCCAGCCATCCGTGCGAATCTGGACTGCCGTGTCAGCAAACAGGGATTCTGCTTCTTTCGAATGGTGGAAGCGGCAGTGGAGTCGTCTGCATACCACGACTGGAGTGCTCTGCTCTGAGACACTTCCTGGATGAGAGGAACGGTTGCCAGGGCATACATAGCCATGGC